GAGCCACAGCACCACCAGCGGTGAGTCCTTTCCTGACAACAACATTGCTACTTTTGAACATCTGCTTCTTTATAGAGTGTTTTTAGCTTCATTTTAAGCAAAGTCTTTTACCCTTGCAGAAACTTGTTTTAACTTGAAATGTCTTCTATATAGTTTTTTTTTAAGTAGGTAAATAATAGTTAAATATCTATTGTGTACTATGAGCATAATAGTATCATTTTATGTATATTTTTTTTCTCCACAGAAAATTGAAAATCTCAAGGATACAACATGTGTAAGTTTCCTAATCTCTGTGGGACAGTGTGGTTCTTTGAATGGATGAGCTGTGTAGTTACCATTAATGACTAGGCAGTTAAACCCAGTCTGTTTTTTAAACTATGCAAAGTCTAAGACCCTTGTCTGTCCCTGACAGCTGCTCTGTGTATCATGGGCAGATATGCCTTGTACTTGGGGCTCTAAGTCAGTTGGAGCAAATCACAAATTTTGCCCTTGGATAACAGGGCCAAGGTGAGGGCTGACCCTTTCTGTCTTTGAACTGGATTATGTCCGTAACATACCTAGAGGTGGCATTTTAATAGGATAGTGAAAGATTATATCTCCCTGAATCTTCTCCCACATACAATATATCCTAAACTATAGCTAGACTGGAGACATGGGACAATTTACTTCTCTCCCTGATCAGAAATGTGAATCTCATTAAAATGAAACTATTACCAGTATTTTTGTACTTCTTTAACCACTTACCCTCCAAAGAATTCACCCCCTTCCTGACCAGGCCATTTTTTTGTGATACGGCGCTGCGTTAATTTTAACCGACAATTGCGCGGTCATGCAACACTGCACTTAAATGAAATTTGTCATTTTTTCCCACAAATAGAGCTTTCTTTCAGTGGTATTTGATAACCCCGCTATAAAATATATCCAATAAAAAAAAAAAATTAAAACAAACTTCTTCATAAATTTAGCCCAAATTGTATTCTCCTAATGTCTTTGCTAAAAAAAAAAATAAATACCAATAAGTGTTTATTAATTGGTTTACGTGAAAGTTAGTGTCTACAAATGGTGGTGTGTGTATATACTGAATTTTTTTTTTAATACTAGTAATGGCAGCGATCAGTGGCTTATAGCGGGGCATTCTGAGAACTGACTGCCACTGATATCCCCACTGACACTAATACAGTGATCAGTGCTAATAAAAAGCACTGACACTGCACTAGGACACTGGGCAGGAAGGGGTAATATCTGTGGCGATCAAAGGGTTAACGGTGTGTTGTCTGTTAGTGTTATGGTCTTTAAACATGTCAATAATTTGGAAAGTCAAATTGAGCATCTATTGTAAAAAGGAATATGTACAGGTTACCAATAGTGAAAATAGATCAAGGAATATGGACAACAAAAGATGGATATCTGGACTTTTCATGCACAAGGTCAGCTTGAGGCCTACCCTCAAGTTCCCCCTAATATCCCTAATATTTTTTAATTCTCATTGATTAAGGACAGGCCTAAGATTATGGTCATTGAGCTGCAATGGGCCAATGTTTTTGATAGGGTTTTAAGTAAGCTGGTTTATACCACAAGCATTCTAGGCTTAGTATGCTGACTATGTAGCGGGCAAGTGTCATAATTTTATTTATTTATTTCTTTGTATACAGAGTATGGTAGAGTCTATCAAGCACTGCATTGTGTTGCTGCAGATTGCCAAGGTAAGTCATGTCTACCTTCTACCAAATTGTATAATAGAATCACCTTTGTTTTGCATGTAACTGATTGATTGTTTTGGAAAATAAAAACAAATACATTTGCCTTGAAATAAGTAAATCTTTGGGGTTTTTTTTTACCACTTTGCTGCATCTGAGGCTGGTGCTTTTTTGGACCTTTCTTGACCTGGGCCAGCATTCACAGGGAGCAGAGTGACCTAAAATATGGAAATGATGTGTCGTGTGTGTCAGTCAGATGCAAGTTTGTACTGTTGGTAGGTGTACATGGAGGGGGGGGATGTGTGCCAGATGCAATATGACAGTCTGATGTACTACAAACAACAGCAAAGATTGAAGGCGCATTTGCACATTGGAGAGAATCCTCAGTGGAAAACAGACATGGCATTTGTACTTGTATTTAAGTTATCGTTGTGTTGTAAATCCTCATATTCTAACTGACTATAACATTCTATATGTTTTGTATTTTTTAATTTATATTTTAAGCAATTGACAAGAATGACCACAGCAACATTTGGCCAGTGAAATAATACAAATAATTGGTCACATATACTCACATAATAACATGAATGTAGAGTTCAGCTAGTAGCATGAGCTTCAGTTAATTGGGGGGGGGGGGTCAGCTGCCATACTGGTCAGCTTGCCAGCCAAACAACGAATGGGTAGCAGTCAGTTGTACATCTAATAATGCATGAAGGGGGGAGGCCCTGCACAATGCTATTAATATTTATGGGTTCATGAGAAAATGTGATTTCAATTAAGAGTCATTTGAGAGCAGTCTAGGTAACTACCTGCAAATCATTGCAGGGTGGATTTGATTTAAATCGTGATTTAAATCACAATTTAAATCACGATTTAAATCACTAGTCAGTAAGGCTTGATTTAAATCCTAGTTTTCTACATAAAGACTAATTCTTGCTGGTATAACTTTAATATGCAAGTAGATGAAGATTTTTAGAATAACAACTTTTCATATTAGTTTTTTTATCCCCAGTTTTAATAGGTTAATCATTAATATTTGGACAACTTTTCTGTTGTACTTAGGAAGGAGAAAAATAATCATTACCTTAATAATAACAATTTAAATAGATTTATTCAACTGAAACAATAACATTCCAGCATATGTTATTTTCTTAAACAAACATCCATGTTTGTTAACTAATTTGGCTAAACAAAATATATATATTTTAAGAAACTTAGACTGTCAGCCCCTCCTCCTCACACTTAGCTTCACTTTCTTCTTGTGCAGATCTATTCCACTCCAAACAATCAGAAAAATATTGTTTCTATTCTATTCACTGAACTTCTTGAAACTTAGCACTGAAGGGGTTGATTCTGTATTCATAGGTTTGTAGAAGTTAGGATTAAGGTCTTTTTCTTAACATAACATTTTTGCTGTGAAGAAGAGGCATGTGATCTCCGCTGAGTCAAATTCAGTTTTGAGAACTGCAAAAGTAAACCAATCATCTGTGATAATATCTTGTAGGCAGAGAAACTGCCCAATAATCTTACAAAAACCTCTGGAAGAGCATGACATTGTGAATGGATTCATGGAATTTATTTTCCAAAAATATTAAACATATACAGCCTTATTCTACATAATTAAAAAACTATTCTTTATTTCATGATAGAATAACCTTTGGATGGTAATATATTTTTCTCAAAAAGCATTTTATTTAAAAAATCTGATTTAAATAAAAAAAATACAATTTTTTTTTTTATTTTTTTAAAAAAATCATTGATTTTTATCCACCCTGAATCATTGTGCTGTTGATTGTGAGTATTAGTGATGGTGTGATTGTTAGTTTGGACAAATGACTGGCAAATTTTGAAATAAAGTGACTACAAATGGCATGCATGTGTGCACCAAACCTAAAATCATAATATCCAAAGTCTACGTTGCATGTTTTTCTGATAAGTGAAATCTCACATGTCAATCACAGCGTCTCAAGTGTGGCCTGGATCCTGTGAACTATGAGAGCCCCAGCATTGGGTAATTGACAGATGTATCTGTAATGAGAGCTGAATATAGCCAAGCTTCCCTTCACACTCTAGATGTGTACTGTGATCCTTCAGAGAAGTAGACTTGTTCAAGGAAGCTGCAGACCTCTCATTAGTACTGGCACACCATGCACTACAAAGGGAAGAGGAAAAAGGGAGATTGCTCAGTCAATTTATAGTCTGCTACAGTGGGCCAGTATACTTGTTCATCTGACATGGCATTTACTGCAGGGCATTGTGGGTTTTATTCAGTGTGCTAGTTAAGGAAGTTTGGATTGCATTAACACACGCTCAGTTCTGTATAAAAGACACAAGATTCCCCGTTTTTGCCCTCACGTGTGCGGAACGGATTGTAGCCTTCCATGGACTAATTAATAAAGAATTATTTGTCTTCCTGTTGCTTCTGCGTTGTTGAGAAATTGGCTACCCACTGACTTTCGGGAAAAATGTTCTACTTAATATGTCTGTGATCATGTTTACTCCTAACGCTCGTTAATTATATTTAGGTAACGGTGGGGGTTGCCTTGCACGTGCTTCATTAAAATCTAACCTGTGATCCAGCAGAATCTGTTCTATACCTCATTCTTCTTCCTGCAGCACCCCTCTGCTGTCTTCTAGTCTTCATTACACAGCTATGTAAGCTCATTACTGCTGCTCCAGGGTTCCAAAATGGCTCTGTTCTTTCAGGACCTAATGTTCTCTACCTGTTTTTAATTGCGGAAGGGATTATCCTTTTAAAAAAAAAATATATGAATTAAATTCTAAGAGCACATTCATGAATAAAATAATTAACGTGGTATGATGGACCTTATTCCTGGTTGTTGTTTAAGAACAGAACTCCTTTTTTCAAGTCAACACCCTCCGTTAAAGGAATCCTGTACCAAAAAATATGCCGCTATTGCTGACTTTCCAATCTGAAAGTGTTAGCCCCCATAATCAATGTTTCTCAGCACAATGCCTAATGCTAAGGATGCATTCATAAATGTGCTATGGCAGAAACAGCAGCCTGCACCTGCAGGCTGCTAGATAGGTGATTGCACCATATCTGAAAGCTGGCCTGTCAGGTAAAGGGATCAGGAACAATTTGGCATGGTTCCTGTTCATGTGATCACTGGCAGCCAGTCCTAGTGATCAAATGGCTTTGTTCACAAACACATTGATGTCAGCTGGTTCAGAGTAAATCACACAGAGAGGGCTAGTTTAACAGTTGTAGCCTTTTAGCTGCTTCTGTCAAAGTGGTATACTAGCTAAAATTAAAAAAAAGTGAATTACTTTAATACTTTTGTAACCTCCCTGGAGGTATTCCCGAGTGTAGCTCGGGGTAAAGTTTCAGCACCACAAACAGTAACCCCGAGCTACACTCGGGAATACCATGCGACGCTGCTCTGCGATCTGTTCTTCTCTTACCTTGTCCTGCGCTCCCGCGATGTCCCTCCTGCAGTGTCCCCTATAATGTCCTCTGGCGGAGGCCTGCATCTGTCTTCTGGGTTCCATCTCCTGCGATGTCGGGACGGAACGGCAGAAAAATGTGAAAATGACAAAAAGTGACATTCACTAAATTCACTAAAATCACATAGTATAACATTACTGTATCAAACCATTTCACATTACATTTTGTCCCGAGTGCTTTGTCCTGTGCCCTGCCTGCATTTTTACTGTTCTTACTGCCTGGAAACTGAGAAACGTCCATGGCGTCCAAAAAGGGTCCCTTTAGGTCAAAAGTGGTTTTAGACCGGCTAGAGAACAGCGATAGTAAATCAGAACCGCTTGCAGAATTGAGTGATAATGATTCGTGGGGAAATTCCTCATCAGACGCTGAAAACGATTTTGCGACTAAGCTCAGCGATGTGCGAACTTGGAGCTCTATTTAAAATTTCAGTGTTTTTGGTTTGATTATATTATTGAATTACATTTATTATATTTTTTATGATCATTAAATTATAATTTATGATTTCGTGTTTCAAATTTTAACATACCCGGGATGCTTACTAGACTCTTGTTCGGATAGATTTCAGTGAGTTATTCCTAAGAATTACAATAAAAAACAAATGCATATTTCCATGCAAAAAAATATACCGCTTTGAGCACAGAAATATGGACATAATCAGACCGCTAGGGAGGTTAAAGTAGAGTAAAATAGCTTAAAGTGTTACTAAACCCACAACCGTAAAATCAGTCTGTAAATGCAGGAAAGCATGCTTGTTATACTCACTGTTGAACCTAAGGGGTTAACACTCAGCATTGTGTAAAAAGGATGTTTGATCCTGACTTCTCTGATCCTTCCCTTCTACTTTCTCAAATCTATCTGCTGATAGGACGAGCCTTGGGGGGCAAGCTGCACATGCTTAGTTTGGTGTGTGCTGCCAGAGAGGTTTTTTTTTTCTTGGGAGAGTGCATGCAATCAGCACAGGGCCAATCGGAGCTGTCCAGACAGAGTCAGAGGTAACTGCTGCTAAAAGGTATTTAGCAGTTTATATTTACTAAAATAATTGCATTTCCATGTTCTGTGTACTGTGGGAGACCAGATATAGTGAATCTAGGGTCCTGGGTTTAGTATCACTTTAAGTTTTTAAATTGCATTTTTATCACAAATTTGAGCATTGGTGGGCTAATTAGGGTTGTATAAATGTTCTTATATCCAATTTGGCCTAAGAATCTCAGCCACATCAATAAACTTTGGTCACAAAAGGGTTAATAGTTAATACATGAAAACTATTAAGGTATAATAGGTGTCAATTGGCTAACAATATTGCCACAAATTATATGTTGTGAAGGATACAAAATCCATTAATATGACATGTAACACAACACAAGAAAATAGAAGTGAATGATGCAAAAGGACATGGTGGGAAGCACAATGGGAAAACTAATGGAAGCAGAATATTTGATTCTAGCTGATGTAGTCTAGGTTGGAAGGGTTTTTTTTTTCACAAAGATATACATGCCTGTTCCTCAAAGCAGCAGGTTGGGTATTTGTTTTATTAATATTCATTATATATCATGCAAACTGAATTTCAGTCATCTCTGAAAATCACTGTAGTCATTGATATCAGTCCCTAACAAAGTGGCTTTATATTTATAGATATACACACTATAAAATTTGTGTGAAATTGCAATAGCCACACTGTGTGTTTCTCATTACATGGCTCTGTATTTTATCTCTGTCTCAGCAACTTGCACTATCCTGATTATCATTTCATATGTATCTTTCAGCAGTCTGGTAACTGCTCGAGGACCAGCTGTATGGAAAATCCGTAATCAGAGTAAATTGTCTGATCCTTCACTTATGCTGAACAGCTGACTGACAGTAGCCATCGGTAGTTTTCTGTGGTGCTATCAGTACACCATTTTCCTGTATGTCCAAAGAGAAATGGTTTTAATCGAACAAGTAGAATGAAAGACAGATCAGAGTCTCTGGGGATCCCAAAAGATCATTGTCCTCTAGAGCTTATCATTGTCTCCCTCTGCTGTGGGCTGGGAGGCCAATCCTACACACTGATAATTGTAAGCAATGTAACTTAAGCCAGCCATAGATGGATCAAATCCATCCCTGCTGAACCAGCCGAGATTCGATCCATCTATAGACCGACTGGTTGTACTAAAGTTGATTCATTGATAGACTTCAGTACAACATACTGTTGGATTTTTTACACGTGATCACTGCTGGTGGCTATATCCGCCAACAGTAATCATCATGTTCTGCTGGAAAAGAAAATTTGTATAATCTATGGCTTGCCTTAGGGATTGCTTGCAATCGGTAGATATTATTATATGGAGGAAAAAAAAAATCAATGATTGTTCTAGTTCAGTCATTTTTTTCCATAAGAAAAGGTCACATTCTCTTCTATGCCCCTAGCAAGTCTAAGCAGATGGTCAATGTGAGTTACATTGTTTTTTTTTTATATATATATATATATATATATATATATATATATATATATATATATATATATATATATATATATATAAATAAATAATTTTTTGTTTATTTTATTTTTTTTTACTTTTTTTATGCTTGGATATTTCGTTTTGCAGAAGATCAGAAGCTCTTTATAGGTTCGTTCTGTACTATAAATAGACTTGAATTAATCAACGGAGGGATACAACACCTTCATGTTTTAGCAGAGACCTAGCTATCATTTAGCAGAGACCTAACTATCATTTTATGCTGGCTATCAACAAGCAGTGCTTTGCAAGAAAGCCAGCATGCTTTTCAAGCTCAGTGACATGGGTGCACAGTGTAGTGATTTTACAAAAAAGATAAAATACTAGTTTATAAACACCTGAACTTAAAGGGTAAGTTCATCTTTGGGAAAATGTTACATGTTGCACCCGTTTTTAGAGTGGAACATGTAACATGTTCCCACTACTGCAGCTGTCATCCACTGTCCTCTCCTCCTGTGACCGCAGTACAGGGAGAAGTTCCCTGTACCAGCTGTCCGGTTTTTGGAAACTGTGCGGTGTTCCGCCCACAGGGCTGCGTCATTTATTCACAGAATTCTGTAAATGAATGAACTACATGTCCCGACAACCTTTGCAGCTGTCGGCTTGTAGTTCTAAATGAACTACCGCGATGCTGTTCTATGGTAGTTCATTTTTTCTTCTTGTCAGTGCATGTGCTTGCCTGTATAAAGTATGAGCATAGATACACTGACAGATTTGCAGGAGTCTTGCATGGAATCAGCGATTGATGGTGCAATGCTTTCCAGGCTCCAAAAAAGAAGAAAAAGTAAATGCACATTTTTTTTACCTGCAAAAAAAAAAATAAATGGGCATTTTAGATATTTTTTATTTTTTTTAAAGTGAACTTATCCTTGAAAAATATATGTGATAGTGAAATGTCCATTTTCATCAGACTGACCCTTTAAATAAAAAAAAATGTTTTGTTGCAGTGTTTTGTTTTCTATTTTTAATTACCCGCTGGCAGGTCAGTTACTGTATTTATTATAAATACACTATATTGCCAAAAGTATTGGGATGCCGGCCTTTACACGCACATGAACTGTGACGGCATCCCAGTCTTAGTCCGTAGGGTTCAATATTGATTTGGCCCACCCTGTGCAGCTATAACAGCTTCAATTCTCTCCACAAGGTTTAGGAGGGTGTCTATGGGAAGGTTTGACCATTCTTCCAGAAGCTCATTTGTGAGGTCAGGCACTGATGTCGGACGAGAAGGCCTGGCTCAGTCTCGCTTAAATTCACTGAGCTCCTGAGAGCGACCCATTCTTTCACAAATGTTTGTAGAAGCAGTCTGCATACCTAGGTACTTGATTTTATACACCTGTGGCCATGGAGGTGATTGGAACACCTGAATCCAATGATTTTGGCGATATAGTGTATGTACAGTATCTCACAGAAGTGAGTCCACCCCTCACATTTTTGTAAATCTTTTGTTATATCTTTTCATGTGACAACACTGAAGAAATGACACTTTGCTACAATGTGACGTAGTGAGTGTACAGCTTGTATAACATGTAAATTTGCTGTCCCCTCAAAATAACTCAACACACAGCGATTAATGTCTAAACCGCTGGCAACAAAAGTGAGTACACCCCTAAGTGAAAATGTCAATATTGGGCCCAATTAGCCATTTTCCCTCCCCGGTGTCATGTGACTCGTTAGTGTTACAAGGTCTCAGGTGTGAATGGGGAGCAGGTGTGTTAAATTTGGTGTTATCGCTCTCACTCTTTCATACTGGTCACTGGAAGTTCAACATGACACCTCATGGCAAAAAACTCTGAGGAGCTGAAAAAAAGAATTGTTCCTCTACATAAAGATGGCCTAGGCTATAAGAAGATTGTCAAGACCCTGAAACTGAGCTGCAGCACGGTGGCCAAGACCATACAGCAGTTTAACAGGACAGGTTCCACTCAGAACAGGCCTTGGCATGGTTGACCAAAGAAGTTGAGTGCACATGCTCAGCGTCATATCCAGAGGTTGTCTTTGGGAAATAGATGAGTGCTGCCAGCATTGCTGCAGAGGTTGAAGGGGTGGGGGGGTCAGCCTGTCAGTGTTCAGACCATACGCCGCACACTGCATCAAATTGGTCTGCATGGCTGTCATCCCAGAAGGAAGCCTCTTCTAAAGATGATGCACTAGAAAGCCCGCAAACAGTTTGCTGAAGACAAGCAGACTAAGGACATGGATTACTGGAACCATGTCCTGTGGTCTGATGAGACCAAGATAAACTGATTTGGTTCAGATGGTGTAAAGCGTGTGTGGCGGCAACCAGGTGAGGAGTACAAAGACAAGTGTGTCTTGCCTACAGTCAAGCATGGTGGTGGGAGTGTCATGGTCTGGGACTGCATGAGTGCTGCCGGCACTGGGGAGCTACAGTTCATTGAGGGAGCCATGAATGCCAACATGTACTGTGACATACTGAAGCAGAGCATCATCCCCTCCCCTTGGAGACTGGGCCGCAGGGCAGTATTCCAACATAACAACCACTTCCTTGCTAAAGGAGCTGAGCGTAAAAGTGATGGACTGGCCAAGCATGTCTCCAGACCTAAACCCTATTGAGCATCTGTGAGGCATCCTCAAATGGAAGGTGCAGCAGCGCAAGGTCTCTAACATCCATCAGCTCAAGTGGAAGAGGACTCCATTGGCAACCTGT